GCTATAACCAAGTGTATCACTAGACACCTCTGCTATAACCAAGTGTATCACTAGACACCTCTGCTATAACCAAGTGTATCACTAGACACATTTGCTATAACCAAGTGTATCACTAGACACATCTGCTATAACCATTTGTATCACTAGACACCTCTGCTATAACCAAGTGTATCACTAGACACCTCTGCTATAACCAAGTGTATCACTAGACACATCTGCTATAACCCAGTGTATCACTGGACACCTCTGTTATAACCCAGTGTATCCCTAGACACATCTGATATAACCCGGTGTTTCTCTAAACACCTCTGCTATAACCCAATGTATCACTAGACACCTCTGCTATAACCCAGTGTATCACTGGACACATCTGCTATAACCCAGTGTATCCCTAGACACATCTGATATAACCCGGTGTATCACTAAACACCTCTGCTATAACCCAGTGTATCACTAGATACCTCTAATATAACCCAGTGTATCCCTAGACACCTCTGATATAACCCAGTGTATCCCTAGACACATCTGATATAACCCGGTGTATCACTAAACGCCTCTGCTATAACCCAATGTATCACTAGACGCCTCTGCTATAACCTAGTGTATCCCTAGACGCCTCTGCTCTAACCCAGTGTATCCCTAGGCACCTCTGATATAACCCAGTGTGTCCCTAGACCCCTCTGCTATAACCCAGGGTATCTCTAGACACCTCTGATATAACCTAGTGTATCCCTAGACACCTCTGAAATAACCCAGTGTATCCCTAGACCCCCCTGCTATAACCCAGTGTATCTTTAGACACCTCTGCTATAACCCGGTGTATCCCTAAACGCCTCTGCTATAACCCAATGTATCACTAGACGCCTCTGCTATAACCTAGTGTATCCCTAGACGCCTCTGCTCTAACCCAGTGTATCCCTAGACTCCTCTGATATAACCCAGTGTATCACTCGACACCTCTGCTATAACCTAGGGTATCCCTAGACACCTCTGATACAACCCAGTGTATCACTAGACACCTATAACCAAGTGTATCACTAGACACCTCTAATATAACCCAGTGTATCCCTAGACACATCTGATATAACCCGGCGTATCACTAAACACCTCTGCTATAACCCAGTGATTCCCTAGACACCTCTGATATACCCCAGTGTATCACTAGACACCTATAACCAAGTGTATCACTAGACACATTTGCTATAACCAAGTGTATCACTAGACACCTCTGATATAACCCAGGGTATACCCCCTAGACACCTCTGCTATAACCTAGTGATACACTGGGTTATATCAGAGGCGTATAGGGAAACACTGGGTTATAGCAGAGGTTTCTAGGGACACACTGGGTTATATCAGGGGATACACTGGGTTATAGCAGATTGATACACTCGGTTATAGCAGAGGTGTCTAGTAATACACTGGGTTATAGCAGAGTTGTCTAGGGATACACTGGGTTATTTCAGAGGTGTCTAGGGATACACTGGTGGGTTATAGCAGAGGTGTCTTGTGATACACTGGGTTATAGCAGAGGTTTCTAGGTGTCTAGGGACACACTGGGCTATAGCAGAGGTGTCTAGAGACACACTGGGTTCTAGCAGAGGTGTCTAGGGACACATTGGGTTATAGCAGAGGTGTTTAGTGATACACCGGGTTATAGCAGAGGTGTCTAAGGATACACTGGGTTATAGCAGATTGATACACTCGGTTATAGCAGAGGTGTCTAGGGATACACTGGGATATAGCAGAGGTGTCTAGAGATACACTGGGTTATAGCAGAGGGGTCTAGTGATACACTGGGTTAGAGCAGAGGTGTCTAGGGATACCCTGGTTTATAGCAGAGGTGTCTAGGGATACTCTGGGCTATATCAGAGGTGTCTAGGGAATCACTGGGTTATAGCAGAGGTGTATCACTAAACACCTCTGCTATACCCCAGTGTATACCTAGACACCTCTGATATAACCTAGTGTATCCCTAGACACCTCTGAAATAACCCAGTGTATCCCTAGAACCTCTGATATAACCCAGTGTATCACTCGACACCACTGCTCCAACCCAGTGTATCCCTAGACACATCTGATATAACCCGGTGTATCACTAGACACCTCTGCTCTAACCCAGTGTATAACTACTGCTATAACCCAGTGTATCACTGGCCACATCTGCTATAACCCAGTGTATCCCTAGACCCCCCTGCTATAACCCAGTGTATCACTCGACACCACTGCTCCAACCCAGTGTATCCCTAGACACATCTGATATAACCCGGTGTATCACTAAACACCTCTGCTATAACCCAATGTGTCCCTAGACACCTCTGCTAGAACCCAGTGTGTCTCTAGACACCTCTGCTATAACCTAGGGTATCCCTAGACACCTCTGTTGTAACCCAGTGTATCACTAGACACCACTGCTATAACCCAGTGTATCAATCTGCTATAACCCAGTGTATCCCTATACACCTCTGCTATAACCCAGTGTTTCCCTATACGCCTCTGATATAACCCAGTGTATCCCTAGACCCCTCTGCTCTAACCCAGTGTATCCCTAGACGCCTCTGCTCTAACCCAGTGTATCACTAGACTCCTCTGCTCTAACCCAGTGTATCCCTAGACCCCTCTGATATAACCCTGTGTATCCCTAGACACCTCTGATACAACCCAGTGTATCACTAGACACCACCGCTATATCCCAGTGTATCACTAGACACCTCTGCTATAACCTAGTGTATCCCTAGACACCTCTGCTCTAACCCAGTGTATCACTAGACACCTCTGCTATAACCCAGTGTATCACTAGACACCTCTGCTATAACCCAGTTCTCCCTAGACACCTCTGCTATAACCCAGTGTATCCCTAGACACCTCTGATATAACCCAGTGTATCCCTAGACACCTCTGATATAACCCAGTGTATCCCTAGACACCTCTGATATAACCCAGTGTATCCCTAGACACCTCTGATATAACCCAGTGTATCCCTAGACACCTCTGATATAACCCAGTGTATCCCTAGACACCTCTGATATAACCCAGTGTATCCCTAGACACCTCTGATATAACCCAGTGTATCCCTAGACACCTCTGATATAACCCAGTGTATCCCTAGACACCTCTGATATAACCCAGTGTATCCCTAGACACCTCTGATATAACCCAGTGTATCCCTAGACACCTCTGATATAACCCAGTGTATCCCTAGACACCTCTGATATAACCCAGTGTATCCCTAGACACCTCTGATATAACCCAGTGTATCCCTAGACACCTCTGATATAACCCAGTGTATCCCTAGACACCTCTGATATAACCCAGTGTATCCCTAGACACCTCTGCTATAACCCAGTGTATCACTAGACACCTCTGCTATAACCCAGTTCTCCCTAGACACCTCTGCTATAACCCAGTGTATCCCTAGACACCTCTGATATAACCCAGTGTATCACTAGACACCTCTGATATAACCCAGTGTATCACTAGACACCTCTGCTATAACCTAGTGTATCCCTAGACCCCTCTGCTCTAACCCAGTGTATCACTAGACACCTCTGCTGTAACCCAGTGTATCACTAGACACCTCTGCTATAACCTAGTGTATCCCTAGACCCCTCTGCTCTAACCCAGTGTATCACTAGACACCTCTTCTATAACCCAGTGTATCACTAGACACCTCTGCTCTGCTATAACCCAGTGTATCTTTAGACACCTCAGCTATAACCCAGTGTGTCCCTAGACACCTCTGATATAACCCAGTGTATACCTAGACACCTCTGATATAACCCAGTGTATCACTAGACACCTCTGATATAACCCAGTGTATCACTAGACACCTCTGATATAACCCAGTGTATCACTAGACACCTCTGATATAACCCAGTGTATCACTAGACACCTCTGCTATAACCTAGTGTATCCCTAGACCCCTCTGCTCTAACCCAGTGTATCACTAGACACCTCTGCTGTAACCCAGTGTATCACTAGACACCTCTGCTATAACCCAGTGTTTCCCTAGACACCTCTGATTTAACCCAGTGTATCACTAGACACCTCTGCTATAACCTAGTGTATCCCTAGATACCTCTGCTCTAACCCAGTGTATCACTAGACACCTCTGCTGTAACCCAGTGTATCACTAGACACCTCTGCTATAACCCAGTGTTTCCCTAGACACCTCTGATTTAACCCAGTGTATCACTAGACACCACTGCTATAACCCAGTGTATCACTAGACACCTCTGCTATAACCCAGTGTTTCCCTAGACACCTCTGATATAACCCAGTGTATACCTAGACACCTCTGATTTAACCCAGTGTATCACTAGACACCACTGCTACAACCCAGTGTATCCCTAGACACCTCTGATATAACCCTATTGTAATAACCCAGTGTATCCCTAGACACCTCTGCTACAACCCAGTGTATCCCTAGACACCTCTGCTAAAACCCAGTGTATCTCTAGACACCTCTGCTATAACCCAGTGTATCCCTGGACACCTCTGCTATAACCCAGTGTATCCCTAGACACCTCTGATATAACCCTATTGTAAGAACTACTCGACTTGGTGTAGTTTCATGCTATCGTGCTCAGTAACATGTATTGACATCTCAGCAGCATTTTAATGTAGCCCTACAGTTACCCCGTCATGTGTGTATAGCGCGTCTTCAGATGACTTTAGATGTTAAGAAGATGCAAATTTCTGAACAAGCAGACCAAGAAGCATACAGGACATACATTGTGACATTAAATCTTTTAAAACACTGTTTGTATGCGGTATCACGAACGACACCCACTTATATTTTACTATTAACTTTTTTTTTGTATATGCCGGGAAGTAATCGTACGATAGACTGGCGTTGTTCAGAGGGGGATGCGTGTTTTCTTAGTCATTTAACCCCAGCGAACAATATACAACTCCCACTGGACAATGCATCAGACCGGGGAAACACCTCATCTTCCATAAATCTGTCTTAACTAACAATACTTCTTTTGTTTTTCCAGCAATGTCCAAACTAAAGAAAGCCAATATCCACGTGGTCATAGGACCATATGACGATGCGATTGCCATGGTTACGGAGAACTTAGGAATCCCTTATCTTTCCACGTCTGCGGTCACGAAAAACAAACTTAATAACACCTTTCAAATTCTGCCACGTCTATCGGATTTTGGCCAATCAATCCTTGACATCGTAAACTACTATAAGTGGGACAAGGTCAGCCTCTTCTACGATGATGACAAAGGTAAGAAAACACGACGACGTCTCATCTATCAGAGATATAAGTGCCCGCTTTATAGCCCTGTCACATAATATCGCGATAACTTGATGGCGAGACGAGTCGTATTATAATGTCTTTACGCGTTTTGAAAACCGATCTCATGTATGTAAAGCTACACGTTATGAACAGATAATGTCTAGCAAGTACATTGAGCATTGTTTTCTCAACCCTTTCCGAAAATGCACTGATTATCGTAGCTTTTATGTTCTTTGCATCATAATTACTCTTTGTAGTGGATCAACAATACTAAGAAGGATTTGATTGTTAAAATAAAGAATATTTCCTGTGGGTGGAGAGTTGATTATGCATGTTTAATTATTTCTAAGAACACCTCTTACGTACATTAATAGAGAAAATAATTTAACCAGTTTGATGCAGGTAAATGAAATGTATATACTTTCAGCTAATCAATCGATGGATAGCATAATAATATTTCCCTTATTTCAATTCTATAAATGGCTATTTCACACGCACGCTTTTAAAATGTTAGATATAATGGATAAACCGTGGTTTATAGTACAAAAATGAATTGTCTGTGCTTTGGAATAAGCAATGCTTGAAAGTTATATTAAAAAAAAACCTCAAAGTTATCTGTTAGCAACTAAGACAAGTCATATGCACTCATTAACAGAACTGCTTAGTTTGAACTTGTTTGAACGTGCTAATTGTCTATATGAAAGCAATTTGATTGATTGGGGTAGCCCAATCAATCAAATTGCTTTCATGCTGTATCATCATTATGACGTTGGTGTCTATTTGATTTAAAAGGCACACTCAGAGGTGTTGTCTGTATAAATATTTTATCAGATTTGACCAGGTCAAGCCAATATTGTTTTAAGTCCGAGACTAGCTTTGTGTGACCAGTTGATGGTATACGTTGGTCAATATAAGCTGACTGAGTAAATATAAGGCCAGGACGACCTTTCGCGAAAGCTTCACTGATCCTCAAAGCAGGTACCTAATTGGTTGGCAAATAAACCCCTCACAGTACACATGAGCCTAATTTATCCTGACACTTCAATTTCTTAAACAAAATCCGAACTTACAATAACATAAACTGGAAATGTCATTTTAAAGATAAAAAAAGAGTTCTGAATTTTAAAAAATGCTGGTTTAAGGTGTTTTTGCACTTATGAAAATATGATCATAATATTATGTCCCTTCGAAATATATCATGTACGAAATCAAAAGCATTTGAATATATTTTTGGAGTATAAATATCTTTTTTGCCAATAAAGAAAGGTCTTGCTGTGAAACAACGAGGAAGTTCAAAATTCCATAACTTTATTAATTTAACTTGATTGCTACGATTATCAAAGAATATGTATCAATTCCTGCCCAGCATTCAACCTTTAGGAACTATCAGACACGTATAAAGATGATAGATATTATCATGTTTTCAATTTTCAAAGCAATTTAAAAAGTTGAACAAGCATATTCATTGAATTAATTTGGACATTGGCAGTGCGACAGTGTATGATGTAGTGTCTACTTCTACACCAGGTCTTCTAGTGACAGTAATTTTAAAAAGAGCGATACCCCCTAGTACACCCGCGCCCTCTAGGGGACAAAAATGTCGCGGTGAGAACCTTTGGGTTTAATTCGTATCTAGATGATGCATATTAGCTCCCGACATTACTGCGTAGCTTTGATATTAATTATGATATGAAATAAGAAATAAAACAATATCATGAAAAATAGATTACGGTATTTTTTTTCTGATAACCGTTGAGTGGGAGTGAACACTACATGCATGCTGTTTCATGTCAGCAATGATGGGCATTATGACATGTGATTAACACTCTATCATATTATCACGGAAAAGTAACGTTACGAAAAGTAGTCTCAATTATTACCAATCATTTTAGTCGTCAATTAATTTTCATTTCCCATTGAAAGATCGATTATATAAGTGACCTTCTAGAACAATCCCTCATCCAAACGCCCAGATACTTCTGGACGAATTTGGAGTGAATCCTTTCGATGTTCGAGTTGATTTTTTAAGTTTCGAGTAAACATTTTCGAGTTTCGAGCTGACTTTCTCGAGTTAAGAGTGAATATTGAGGAAAATTAATTACGTTGACCTTTTCGAGTATCAATTGGGTTTTTTCGAGTAACTGACGCAAAACTCGAACATGTTGACGCAAAACTCGAAATTAGACTCCAATTCATTCTCCCTAAATTCAAAATAGGCCGACATCAGCACGGTTAAAATACATCAAATAGTGTACACGGTTTTCTATCCTGATCTGGTTCATGATCTGAGAGTGCGAAGAAAATAAAAACATCAGCCAACAGTTATAATGTTATACATTTCTCCAGATATTACCAGAAAAGAATAATAGAATACATAGTCTAGCTGTTAGAACAAATGATAATGTAAAGGGCTTAGTCAGTCAGCCACCCACATAGTCAGTGTCCTATTTATCGTTTTGATGACGTCATTTTCGACCGTTTAATTCAAGCTCAAACAACAAAAAACAAAAAAGTCAGCCTAATATGTTATTCTACAGCGTTTTAACATAGCGCCGACAGTAATATAGTAAATTAAAAACACGTTAAATTATGTGATATTTCACTATGGGAATGACTTGAGACGGAAAAAAACGTTTAGTTCAGCTACAAAATATAACATCAGATTATCACCGGCGTGAATATTAAATATTAATTTAAGGCTTTTGTTTTGTGGGCACGTAAACTGACATTAATCGCGGAAACCATGGTATGGATTACATGCATAAAGCGTCAACTGCCATAAATAAGAAGAAATTCGCGAATCTGTCATGGAATATAGTTAATTTTTAATGTGACAACCGCTTGCTCCATTGGTGCAGAAAACGCAAATAAAAATGTTTGTGTTGCAAAGTGTACAATGAAGTGTCAAGTTAAATTCAGTGATATATTGGGTTTTAGGGGACCATGCAATCAGTAACAAATGATCGGTTAACTCCCAGGGGACCTCATGGAAATAAAACACGTTTTAAGTCGTGTGAATTACACAATGTAACCATTGCCGGCTTGATATGCTATATCTGTCATTTAATTCAATTCTATGACTAATTTAAGGCGACCAATGTGACATTGATTTACTGCACTATAAATGTCGTTGGAAGCATGGTCCCACTACAAACAGAACACATCACATATCCAGCACACACACACGGGCATACACATAGGGAGATATTAGCCAGGTGGCATACGACTAGTGTTTAGCGCCTGATAAGGCAGTTCCTGCGAATTCCTCAAAAATTGAATCGATAAATGTATATGCTAATTGTATTAATTGTACATAAATGTACTGTAAAGCGCTTTAAAGTGGCTTATGTTAGCTAGATAGGGCGCTATATCAAATGTTGTATATTGTTATCTTTGGTAGCTGTGTTTCTGCTGTAACAGGTACATGTTTCATCACCTTAATATATCTGTTGATAACTTTCACAACATGAAGTTACATCCTTCTTCGTTACAATGTGTACTTACTTATTTTGTACATTAAATGATTCAAACTGAAAGACGTTCACAATCAAGAAATTACGCGGATAATCCTTGTTTCGCAAAAGCGTTTTCGAAAAATACGCGCTAGACTTTAGATGCTTATTGCATCTGTAGTATTAATATGTTATTGAACCTGAGAACTAAACACAATGATTCTGGGATTCAAAACCATAGAAATTGAACACATTAAACAAACTTACTTATTTTACAGCGCTATCTTCTTTTACAAATATTGTAAAGGTTTGAAATAATTTCACATACCTTCTCATCAAAGCAATTGAAGATTGAACATAGATTCTATATTTCATTTATAATAAAGCATTCGAATTGTAATTGAAACCTAGACACTATGGGATTAAGATCATTCGAAAATTTAAAATTCAGCGGATTTCTTTCTCTCAAAAATTTAAAAACTAACACACTTTTAATTAATGAACCAGGAAGTGTGATAAATGATTTCATGTTGTTATCGTTGAAGCTAAAAGCAGAATATGCTCTCGGTAGAGTTAAAATGCACGTGCTTATGTAAATTAGTTAATGTAGTTTCATATGTATGGGCATTGAACGCCCATTAATTTTTTTTTTACCAATAAGGTTCCCCTTTATTCTGTAGTCTCATTGATACATTTATCATCATCCAATTAAGTCGGTTCAATGAGCTAGATATCACTGCTCAGACATGACTGACAGAAACAGGAAGTTCTTTTCATACAAATGCAGAACAGTAACACGAGAGAATGATCTCCTGGGAGAGATCTAATCTCAGCCAACCTGAATGAATTATAAGGAATCAACAACAACTAAAAATGTATCCCTTATGATTATAATGAAGCAAAACCAACCTCACTCTTATGCATTATAAGTTGACATGTTTTCAGGCAGTGCACACTAGCTACTGTCAATATCAATTTCATGTCGCAGCTCGATCATATCAGATTTGTTTATTGCATTGCATTTGGCGTTTCATATTTCATTCAAAAGGCATCATTGATATACCGTTATCTGTCTGTTGGAACATTAATTTTGTTATCGAACAGATAACGTTTTCACTTATCTTAATATCAGACCGTAACAGTCATGAAAACATCTGTAATAAACAGTATATTTTTGTAATATGCACTATCTCTCTGTAGTTAAAATTTTATATTTTCAGAAACAATGTATCTTACATCTTACAATGTATCTGCAGATAAATGTGTATTTGTGCATTGGCATTAAATTTTGTATATCTGCAGTATACAATGTGTCTGCAGTATACAATGTATACCTGCAGTATGCAGTGTAATGCAGTATGCAGTGTTTCTCTGCAGTATGCAATGTATCTCTGCAGTATACAATGTGTCTCTGCAGTATGCAATGTATCTCTGCAGTATGCAATATATCTCTGCAGTATGCAATGTATATCTGCAGTATGCAATGTATATCTGCAGTATACAGTGTATCTCTGCAGTATACAGTGTATCTCTGCAGTATGCAATGTATCTCTACAGTATGCAATACATCTCCGCAGTATACAATGTATACCTGCAGTATGCAGTGTAATGCAGTATGCAGTGTTTCTCTGCATTATGCAATGTATCTCTGCAGTATACAATGTATCTCTGCAGTATGCAGTGTATCTCTGCAGTATGCAATGTATCTCTACAGTATGCAATACATCTCCGCAGTATACAATGTATACCTGCAGTATGCAGTGTAATGCAGTATGCAGTGTTTCTCTGCAGTATGCAATGTATCTCTGCAGTATACAATGTGTCTCTGCAGTATACAATGTATCTCTGCAGTATACAACGTATCTCTGCATTATACAATGTATCTCTGCAGTATACAATGTATCTCTGCAGTATGCAATGTATCTCTGCAGTATGCAATATATCTCTGCAGTATGCAATGTATATCTGCAGTATACAGTGTATCTCTGCAGTATACAGTGTATCTCTGCAGTATGCAATGTATCTCTACAGTATGCAATACATCTCCGCAGTAAACAATGTATCTCTACAGTATACAATGTATCTCTACAGTATACAATGTATTTCTGCATTATGCAATATATCTCTGCAGTATGCAATGTATCTCTGCAGTATGCAATGTATCTCTACATTATACAATGTTTTTCTGCAGTATGCAATGTATCTCTGAAGTATACAATGTATCTTTGCAGTATACAGTGTATCTTTGCAGTATGCAATGTATCCCTATTGTATGAAATGTATCTTTGAAGTATACAATGTATCTCTGCAGTATGCAATGAATCTCTGCATTATACAGGTTATCTGTGCAGTATGCAATGTATCTCTGCAGTCTACAATGTATTTCTGCAGTATACAGTGTATCTCTGCAGTATACAGTGTATATCTACAGTATGCAATGTATCTCTGCAGTATACAATGTGTCTCTGCAGTATACAACGTATCTCTGCAGTATGCAATGTATCTCTGCAGTATGCAATATATCTCTGCAGTATGCAATGTATATCTGCATTATACAGGTTATCTCTGCAGTATACAATGTATCTCTGCAGTCTACAATGTATTTCTGCAGTATACAGTGTATCTCTGCAGTATACAGTGTTTATCTACAGTATGCAATGTATCTCTGCATTATACAATGTTTTTCTGGATTATCCAATGTATCTCTACAGTATGCAATGTATCTCTGCAGTATGCAATATATCTCTGCAGTATGCAATGTATATCTGCAGTATACAATGTATCTCTGCAGTATACAGTGTATCTCTGCAGTATACAGTGTATCTCTGCAGTATGCAATGTATCTCTACAGTATGCAATACATCTCCGCAGTAAACAATGTATCTCTACGGTATACAATGTATCTCTACAGTATACAATGTATTTCTGCATTATGCAATATATCTCTGCAGTATGCAATGTATCTCTGCAGTATGCAATGTATCTCTACATTATACAATGTTTTTCTGCAGTATGCAATGTATCTCTGAAGTATACAATGTATCTTTGCAGTATACAGTGTATCTTTGCAGTATGCAATGTATCTCTACAGTCTACAATGTATTTCTGCAGTATACAATGTATCTCTGCAGTATACAGTGTATCTCTGCAGTATACAATGTATCTCTACAGTTTGCAATGTATCTCTGCATTATACAATGTTTTTCTGCATTATCCAATGTATCTCTACAGTATGCAATGTATCTCTGCAGTCTACAATGTATTTTTGCAGTATACAGTGTATCTCTGCAGTAGACAGTGTATCTCTACAGTATGCAATGTATCTCTGTAGTATGCAATGTATCTCAACATTATACAATGTTTTTCTGCATTATCCAATGTATCTCTGCAGTATGCAATTTATCACATCAGTATACAGTGTATCTATGCAGTTTACAGTGTATCTCTGCAGTATGCAATGTATCTCTGCAGTATACAGTGTATCTTTGCAGTATGCAATGTATCTCTACAGTATGAAATGTATATCTGCATTATACAATGTATCGCTGCAGTATGCAATTTATCTCTACAGTATACAATGTATCTCTGCAGTATGCAATTTATCTCTGCAATATACAGTGTATCTATGTAGTATACAGTGTATCTCTGGAGTATGCAATGTATATCTGCATTATAAAATGTATCTCTGCAGTTAACAATGTATCGCTGCAGTATACAGTGTATCTCTGCAGTATGCAATGTATATCTGCATTATACAATGTATCTCTGCAGTAAACAATGTATCTCTACATTATACAATATATCTCTGCAGTATGCAATGTATCTCTGCTGTATACAGTGTATCTCTGTAGTATACAATGCATCTCTACCTACAGTATACAATGTTTATCTGCATTATACAATTTATCTCTGCAGTATACAGTGTATCTCTGCAGTAAACAATGTATCTCTGCAGTATACAATGTAAATCTGCAGTGTGCAATGTATCTCTACATTATACAATGTATCTCTGCAGTATATGATTTATCTCTGAAGTATACAATGTATCTCTGCAGTATACAGTGTATCTCTTCATTAAACAATTTATCTTAGTTAACATTTTATCAGTGTAGCATACATTTGTTTGTCAGTGGATTAAATTGTAGCTGTAAAGTTACCCTTATTTCTCTATATTGTACATGTACATGTACATATACAATATAGAGAAATATGTACGTATACCTGAAGTCAAATTGTTTCTCTACAGCTTGTATTGTATCTCTGTAGCATAAAGTTTATCTCTGTATTACGAACAATGTACGTATTGTACTTGAAATTTGAGACAAATCAATATCAGTAGCATATGGCCTCTCTTTAGGACGTCAGTGATCACTGGTCAGCACAGCTATGGGATATGAACGACGTGCATTATGATCAGTTAGGTGAATTATGAATACATTATTCGATATAAACCTATATAAAAAGTCTCTGGTGCACAATCCGTCGCCTGGTTATCAGTTATACATTCACATTACTGTCACACTCATTACACAAGTAACGCTATGATGCTGCCGTGTCGGGGTTAATCAGTGCATTATGTACTTCAGGTGAACTATTGACTATAATATGTTCCATTTTCCGGAAATCAAATTTCTTTACCTAACCCATTAACTTTTTCCGTGCTTTACTCGTCAATTATTAATCTTAATTTTTATAAATATATAATAAAAAAAAGTTTTGTCAGGTTTCGTCACTCACTTGACCATTTAGAGGTGATAAGTGCACAACGTAATGACTTACTAAGTCTTTCAAAATTATTATAGGTATATGCAAAATTATATATATTTCAAACGTTTATTGTTGAATATTTTATGCTTCGTGTTTGTATGAGTGAACGCTACACGGCTGTATCAGGTTGTGTCAGTCACTTGATTTTTAAGAATGTCTTTTTTCACCGTAGGTGTGTCCATCATTGAAAAACTTTTGACCAATCATGATCTAGTGGTCAAGTCTTGGCGCGTGGACCAATTGCGTGGAACTATGCAGATCAGGGAACATCTCGTGCACATGCGCAGAGCGTTTGGTCAGAAGAGCGTCCTTTTCTGCAGCAAAGAGAACACCAGAAATATCTTGGAGCAGGTATGTTGGTTTAGAAGGGTTGTGTCGTTATTTCTTTGAATAAAGTGTTTACTTAAGATGAGTTCCATTGCCGGATTAAAAATGATGGATGGTAAATTATGTAAAACTGAAACCAGTAAAAATTACAAGCCCCCAATTTGTATTCCTTTTGTTGAAAATCAGTATAACTGTACATTCATACTCTCTCACCTGATTGTACATTGAATATATATATATATAAAAAAAAAATCATGATATTATTATTTTTTCTACATTATTTTTTTTGGTAAATTCTTGCTTGAAAATTACCCATTAAGCATAAATGTACAAACGTTTAAACATCATTGCTTTATTATTAGGAGTCGAACCCAAATGCATTGATCTTATATTTCAATGTCTTTCTGTTTTGCGGCTTCCTTCATAGAGCCGATTCCTTAAATTCGAATGTTACATCGTCAATACTTATGTGCGCGATAGTAATCGACTCCTAAATGCGTTCCCTGACGACTTTGCATGTCTCTTCTATCCACTACATGTAGACAGCTACCCTTGGGTGCAATATGACTTCCCGTTGACTTCGCAGCTTCTATCTCTGCACCTCTTCAATAGCTCTTCATGTTACCTATTTGTCTGTATCTCAAGGTAAAAAGTGTACCTACAACACTGTGCACAAATCGGATAACATATTTGATATAACCCTGCTCCAATCTATAAGTCACGATGTGATGCAAATGTCTGCATCTCAAGGTAGCAAAGTCTTTTTCTATAATAATAATAATAATAATATACAACATTTATATAGCGCCCTTTATAATTTGTAAAATTACTCTAAAGCGCTTTAAAACATATGGATACTAGTAATGGTTATAATTGTGAAAACAAAAAACAAACGCTTACAATCACTTTTTTACATTTAAGCAAGCAATGTGCACAAAATTGGACAAATAAAAGGGTGGTATTTACATGACGTTTTTGCAAAGATTCTAAAATGCAGACGTGAAGAGGTGAGGTTTGATGTCCTCTTGAACTTGGCCAGGGTATTTGACTTTCTAATAGCAGATGGTAGCTATTCCACAACGTAGCCGAAACCCTACCAAAGCATCTGTTTCCGTAGGTCACAGTACGAGATTTTGGGACACACAATAAAGATTCTGACTCCGACCGCAGTGATCGTGACGGCTGATACAGGGTAACAACCTCTGTCTGTCTATAATACACTAACTACACAATGCAAAAAAAGAGCAACAAATATATTCATTAATCGCCCTGCATCCATTATAGTTATTAATGCCATGTACTTTGTTGTTTCATCTGTGTGCCTTTGCATAACAGATAAGTACGCATAAAGATATATTAGTTAATTTCTATCACCCTAATGATAGTGTTTAATACTGTAGCTCATTACCACCTACACTTGCGCTTGGCGATGATGGCAGTATCTGCCCAGTAGGCCAAGCAATGTGGTAAAAGGGGGCGATGATTCTGACAAACAAACTCCAGAAAATCCCTAGGCTATCAGATCATTGATTTTTACCATAGATAGCTAATTACATATCCCTAAAGTGTCTTTTCCATACGTCCTCTCTCGCTGATTCTGCCAAGAGCACAATAACTTAAACTGATCGGAGCACGAAATGTGTCTGTCGGCCAAATAATATTGACAATTGTATCGTCTGATTTCAGGCTACACAAGCGACCTGTTGTAACGCTGTCATACATGTAGTGTTAAAAGATACAGTTAATTTTATCAAAGACATACCACCCGCCCTAATACGTACGGTCATATCACGGGCGAAATCCCAAACAATTTTATATTGTCTTGCTTTCATTGTCACCCATGTTATCAGTGGAAGTGATATAAGTGCTGCTTATAAATTACATACTGTGTGTATTTATATCTTAAAAACACAGCTGTGCTAGTGATATAAATTGTTGAGTCCCGCTTTGTATTACGAAATATCACAAATGTAACCATGCACGCAAGAGAAATTCTAAATACCAACTATACACGGAGTTACTGGAATATAAATAAATGTAATATCGGCGCACGTGCAGCATATCTCCCAAGCACGCGCATTCTACTATCAGATGCATTTGACGGCATCACGACATGTTTGTACAGCGATCATGCAAACGGAATCATACATCACAATAAAGCTGATCGGTCGTGTCAAAGACAAAGCAATAGATAGGGAATTGCTGTTATTGATGAATGTTTATTGCCGGCCGGTTTTCATTGATCACAATATATAATAGGAACCCTTTCCATATTGTATTCATTGCACGAGGGCTGTTCGCTTTTATGCAATACTTTACAGTGTTAGTAAACTGAAGCTATTGCAGATGTTTGATGATCAGATAGATCAATTACATGTATCAAAATGTTTAACTTTGTACATTCTATTCACGATTGCAAACTACTAGCGATTGAAGACAATCCCACTGAACGGATCACACCATGCAGTAGTTGTTTTTCTTTTTTGTCTTTTTTTACAAGTGTATTCTTTTAAGGTTACATTTTGTGTTTCGTAAATATTGCTATATTTCCCTTCGACATACCGACATACCTACTTTAACTGCCAAACCACNGGGGGGGGGGGGGGGGGGGGGGGGGGGGTGTCACTGTACAATAACTCACGTTACAAAAAGAAATCACACTTAAATATCTGCATGTACAATAACCATTTAAATCTACATTGAACGTTTGCCATTTAAAGCTGGCAGTGCTAAGCTTGTAGCGTCGTGATGCCTTGTGTATATCTCTTTTGCTGATGTTCCCAATTTGTATGCATCATTTGTAAAGAGTAAAAAGTTCATTTTCATTGTTGCTTGCCCACCAGCACTTTGCAACCATAAGTATGCACAGAATAATGGTTTCTTTGGCTGTAACTGATATAATGAGAAAGTTTCAACTTTGTTTTTACCTTAAATAAGACGAATTGCAGTGATTGGTGATGGTTTTCTTATCTCTACTGAATACTGAATACTGAATACCTCTAGGTTTATGGTAGACTGTTGAAACAGGACGCCGTGGGCATGCGTATAAGACAAGGTAGTGATTTTATTTCCAAATTTAAAATCGTAAATCACAAATAAAGTGTCAATCATTGAGATAACGGAGTTGACTGTTAAGTCAATGAATATTTATAAATGTAAGCTATAGCTTATTTGACACAAAGGACTAAGTGAACCGATGTGACTGGATGACTAAGAGAACTTTTTCCCCAGAGACTTATCAGTTATCATGGAAAAAAACATACAACCAGTAGATTTCAGACGTCCAACATATGACAAATTAATACAAAAAGAACACAAACCAACGAAGGTAACACTTTCATACTTTAATAGGCAACTCGTTGAGGAATTCTTAAGGTAGCTGGCTATGTGGGAACACACCGTGTGTTTTTTTGTGTGTTTTTTTTCATTTACGTACCTCTAATACACGCAAAAGACTCAATCGAAACGCCAAGTAGTACTAGTCGACCACGATTGTGTATGAATCCGATGATGATTGGAATATTAATGAGAATGATGATATGAAAGTGAATATACATGTCGGAAAAAAGAAAGAGTAAACAAGTAAATGAATAAAACTGTCAACTGTACTTTAATACAATACCTGCTTATTGAATATTTTCATTGCGTCGGTTTGGATGCCAATTTAGTCGAGAAAAGACTATGTAACACCTCTTGTTTTGAGTAGCAATAACGTTACACAATGGAAACAATATCAGAACGAAGATTGTCGAGTCATCAGAATTAAATAATGATGTAGCAGCACCACAAGATGATTGCCTTGGCCGTCTTGTAACAATGGTAAATCCGTGTAAGACGCTTGATTGATGTGACTAGACGATATATCATTAACCGGAAGTTGATCGAACACTAGTTCAATCAGATGTTTGTAATACCAGGAGGGTCAAGTAATATAAAAGTGACGCTCAGAACTGACGTAAATGTGTCTTCCTTGCATCTTGACGAAACTTGACGTATACTGGAATCACTCACAAAAGGTTCAATTATACTTTAAATAAGTCACTGTGACGTTCACCTCAAGGTCAAAGTAGAATGTGCTTAACTATCAGTTTGTCAAGGCAATTCATTTTGAACATTTATTTATATATGCATATCCCGGGGGAAATAATTTACTTACGCCGACCTCAGTTCAAATTACATTAAAATGAAAATGTACTGTGATGATCGTCTTTACACTGTCAGAGTAGTGCGAACATCTAAAAAGGTTTTCGGTAAATGCTACAAGAGAGAATTAAGGTTTGATAATGTACGTTTTGAAGTTGCATTGAAAAGGTGAATATATTTTTCACACTACATACTATATGAAACTGTTTGATTAAATACGAGTTATTCATTGTTCAATTGCATGTTAAAAAAAAATAAGTTATTGTTTCCTTTTGATTTACAGTTAAATGTGTCCTTTCTTACATTTCAGGCACGGAGTCTTGCTATGCTGTCAACGCCCTATGAATGGTTCTTTTACGATCCCGTACGTAACATAAACATTGCACTACTAGGGTACAAAGAGAGGGACATCTTCGATATCCAGGGGTTACGCGTACTTTCACTCTTTGCACCCCTTGAATATGTCATAGCAAAATTGAAGGCTCAGTGTGCGCCACCTTGTTGATGAGACAAGAAGACTAGTTCGATCCTATGATACACATCAAAAGAATCACGGCCACGTTACGTTAAAAATTGACAGGCTTTGTAGTCGGGCGTCTCTCCTTTATAATCTTCAAAGGACAGGTATCAGCCTAGCGATTGGTCAGTTCTTTTTTTACCCAAGACCAATCAAACAGCTATATTCGTGCCTTCAATTTTGCTATGACATTTCCCAGGGGTGTAGAGAGAGAAAGTAAGCGTAACCCCTGGATATCGAGGATGACAGGGAAAGTAGGAATGTCAATATGCTTCCAACGTCGCATTATTGGAATCAGATGGAATGTTGATATGTTTCACCGTGGTATTTCTAGAGCGTTAACGAACCGTTAAAACGGCCATCAGTATCAAAATTGGTGTATTGTTCATGTTTTATGAAACAAACACCAAAGCAAAAGAGTTAAGAGTAGGAACAGAGCGATATGAAAAATGATATGTCAATATTAAGGTTTCCCGTACAAACCGACATGAGTGGAGTTGAGTTAATTAGTTAGAAATGTATCGATAACATTATACTAGTAAATGTTATGCAAAGAAAAAGATACACGAGAATATCTCTTTACTTCAGACTATCTGTGTTTCGCCTAATATTTATTTTCGAGTACCGTATCATTCGCTTGTATCACGTGAATATTATTCAGACCGCAATGCATACGGTATACAGAGTAATTATCAAGGCAGATGCATTTTCGCGGTGTAGTGATCTGTAGATTCAACACAAACACAATCGCGGTACGTTTCCAGTACAGCAACCTATTCCAAACACACTCAAAACCGCAAATTGAACTCTGCACGAATTATCTTTTCATTTGAATTTTACCATGTTGGTAGTACACGTATGTCGTGTAACGAATAACTTCTCCTTCATTTCATCCCAGTTGCAGTTCGTTATTGTTACGGCGAGATCCATGTCATGATGACACTTTGTTTGTGTTTCTAAATATAGTTGTCGGAAGATAAAACTCTCCAGATTGTTTAATTCTTTATAACCGATTCGATGGACTATGGTTTGTTTGTGTTTTACGTCCTATTACCAGCTATGGTCATTTAAGGACGTGCCAGGTTTTGTGGTGGAGGAAAGTCGGAGTTCCCGGCGAAAAACCACCGACCTAAGGCCAGTACCTGGCGACTGCCCCATGTAGGCATCGAACTCGCGGTAGCAGACTGCCAGACGCCTTAACCACTTGAACCCCATCCCCCCTATTCTCTAGTTGGTGGACTATGTGATGTTTCCATGTTAAATTATTATCAAGAATAACTCATTTGGTATTTTGTTTGAACTGTTGCTTGTTCAGAACATAAAAACCAAATAATTCATCTAATCCTCAAAATTAATTTGACCTCTGCCAGGAAAACTTTGAAACCAGTCGTAACATTTTACTCTACATACACTAAGATACTCGTAAAAGCAATTCTTTCAATGTACGTCAGAGTAGCAGCTGGCGCTAGGCTATCTTTAGTAGTCGTAGAAAGATATTTTATGTCCGACCTTCATAAGATGTGTTTAGGATCTTCTTGGGACTACTTAATCGGCGCGGAGAATATAATATATCATATATTAAGAAAATTTCTAAGAGAATTCGAGCTGTCCCTCGAAAACTGGGAAAAGTAATTAACTTTGATGTAGATTACGTAACTCCAGTGTTCTATTATAACCAAGCTATACCATTAAGTAATAAATGCAGGTACTAATAAGACATTTTAAACCATTTGTTGGTATAAAATACTGTCACCCATACACTAAAATTAGGTTTTCTTCAGTCTTTTTTCTTGAATACGAAATGTTCTCATTGGGTTCAAAAACATACTAAAACTGTATATTATCGTTCTGCTCGCCGGTTTGTCCCGCGGTGACAAAATATTACAGCAGTTCATACAGCCTATAGCTACCGCTGTTCAAATATAATGAAGCATGGGTTGTCGTAGACTTGCTATACGTTTCATTTGCCTATACAATGTATATATTTTGACTTGAACAAGTATAAGGTCTCTAGACCATAACAAGTCCTAAGACATCAAAATAATCGTTTGGACTGAAAGCCACTCAACGATTTCCGTTGAAAGCTCAAAATAACGGATTGTACTTTTATTTAGGTCAAGCCTTTATTTTAAAAGAATGCACAATAATTATATGACATCCTTTATCAAACAAACTACTCCTGAAAAGGATATGCTAGCGTGAATTTCATGTATTTATTAGTTTACACCTATAACAAACACTGTTTAAAAGCGTTGGGCGACCGCACAACGCACAACAAATACATATTACACCTTCTGTAAGTTGAAGTAAATATAGATAGAATGATAAACATATAGATGTAGCTAAAATAAAGTAGCATACATAAAAGTGCATAAAAATGAAATCGTGTTTATTGTTACTGTAAGCCATTCCTCGTATTTACATATTTGTATGGCGTGCACTTTTTCGTGCGCTCACCGCACATCCTGTAACGTTGTACTATCCCATTAACTGTAATATATAGTGTTGTTTGAGATAATTTGAAGAAATGGACCTATTGTTAATTAATTTGGCGTTTGCTTATTAACAGGGCGATCAGCTGAATGATGTATTCACCGACTTCCCCGAGGTCACAGTGAATTTCACCATGTTTGGTCTGATGAACGAATCGGCTTCTTCTAAGATTGGAGTGAACGAGGACCGTCTCAACAGATCTCTAGCCATGGACGCGATATCCCTCATCCGGTCCACGGTGGATGGTATCAGGAATTATACGACGATGGATGAGAGAAAGGTTCTTGTTGATGCCATCAAAGAGGTACAGTGGTATGGATATAATAGACAATTATGTCTATCGCAATTAAGTTAAGTTTTAGGAGTATGTATGTCCACTGTTAATTACTTTATTGTCACGTGTTCTTTATTTCGCGAACTACATGTCTGTATGTATGTCTTATTTGTGAATGCGTACGTTCAGAAATGAGAGGATTGTTTATCGATATTGATTATGCATACCTATGGAGTAAACAATTTATGTTAATTAGCACTTGCTTATAAGTCCCTTTACGAATTAACGCGAGATTATATCCTTCGCAAAAATACATATTTATTTGCAATATATTCTTATGGAAATTAAAATGTAAGATAACCAACAACACTAGATGTAACTTCGATCAATTGAAACTATCACTTTGCGCGAGTTTCAGTGTCTATTAAACAATAATTATAATTATTCAGCTTGCTTTCATTCTCAATGATGATAGCAGAAAAATCCAAACAAATTGAAAAAATGCAATCCTTTACGACAACCAAATTGAGTTGTACTGTATCTAAATACAATGTGTATATAAATATCTATGTCCCTTCCATTGCTTTAAGGATCATATTGCCATAACACTTACAAGACCCTCGCTTTGATCCCTGTCAAAGTTTTACCCACAATTCCTTCTTTGACTTATATTTCCGGCTGAAGTAATCCTAATCCTGTTTTCGGCCTTTTAGATTAGGTTGACGGGACTGACTGGTGTAATGGAGTTTGATGAGAGCGGGCGGCGAAGCAATTTCTCCATTTTCCTCTCTGAATACAACGGATTCGAAAAATACGCGGTAAGTTATGTAAGAAGTGTTGTGTGCGGGAATAACTATTTCGTCTTTTGAACATTTTGCTTTGAGTCTCGTGTAATATGCGCACGTAATGTCATTTTATGCTGTTGATTATTTTTCCGATGATGCATTTTGTTTTTTTAAGTTAAAACGATGTCTTATGCTTTACAATTCCTGTATCTATTGGTAAACTGTACCTTTATTGATATAAATGTACCATATCGACATGACTTAAAAACGAATTCTTAACTTCGGTATACTGTCATCTTAGATTGATGGTTGTGATCCGCCCCAGAACATTGACGTCATCTAACGCGAGCGGACATTCTTTTTTCATATAAAAGACATTCTAAAACGGGAAGATGCGTTGCCTAGTATGTTCTCAACTTCTTCTCGGGTATTCCCAAACTGACCATCCGCAATGATTTTATTATGCTACTAGTAGGCGGTATAAAACGTGTATTGCTGATATATTGTTGTTATGACAGACCACCATGGTGTTATCTCAGACAGACATTTTGTAATCACTGACCGATAGGGTGATACAACATTCAAACGTAATGCTATCACAGACATCACGAGTCTGCGATTACACATGTTCTATTTGCGCCTTCATATTTTCCACTAAATCAGTTTATTTTGGCATATCAGTCATCTAGATTTCAACGAGCAGAATATAAACAGTTATTTGTATCTGCATGTTTCCCGTAAACACATCAAACACCACACGCACCAGTGCTCGCACCGCTAACAACAACGTAACTAGCAATATCAAGTACGATTTGGGAGCGAGACAACATCACGTAACATATAGTTATGATCCCATTCAAATGCCGTTTTAGTGAAAATAGATTTATTTGTCAGTGGTTATTGCTTCCTTCACGCTAGAAAGGGCGGTCTTCTGCGCACAGACGAGAGATATTCGGTAAGACGTGTATGACACTGTTCCCTACTCTCTTTCATGTAGGTAGGATATTTTATTTTTATCACAGTGGAATTGTTTTTAGCACGCTTTTCCACCCTGTGACAAAGGTGTGATATTATAGTTTGCTCTACATAAAGCGGCAATGGTTTTGATGTAAAACAGATTTTTTAACTTATCAAAAATATCCACAAAAATTGCCCCTGTAGAGGAACGGAAAGAGCGTTAGCAGAAAAAAACCACGAAATGAAATCACAAAGTTGAAAAATATGCTTATTCTGGATACTACGTGTATTTTGTTTTTTGGTGTGTTTTTTTGTCTCGGGTTTAGGCCTCCGTAGCTCTTCAATGGGCAAATAGCGATGTGGTGACTCTTCTTTGTAGTGGTACTTACCATGAAACCTTACTCTGATAACAGGCATATACTAGGTAGATTGATACAGAGGTCGTTACTATGGAAAGCATAGATGATATCCAAACAATTTTCACGTGGATGGCAAAGATCGAATTATTTTTGTCGCTTCATCTCGTCTTTAGTTGTAACGACAAAGAAAACATTCTGCATGTGGCACTTCTTTGTCGCCTTTGATGATCATGCAAGGAGGTAAAACGCACGGGTTTATTGTCATCATCACAGACCGAAAACAAAATGAAATGCATAACATTAAATATGATGTCTCTATACGAATGGTGTATTCTAGTATTTAACGCGAGCTGGGTCCCTAGCTGTAGCACCACACCTTGCTTGCAAATGTGCCCTTGGCCGATCCCACGTTACCGGAATATGTGACTTCATGACTTGTTTGTATCTGTCAATACGTGACATGTGGGCCTTGATGATCAATTCAATTTCCTGTTCTTTAGACCCTTGTTTCCTGTTGTCTCCTGATTATCCTGAGAATCGGCATCGTACCAATGCTCTCACCGAAACAGGCCTGACTTGTGTTGAGTTTTACATTCTTCCTGTGTATCCACATTTCCCTGAGAATTTAGGTTCATTTCCCAACATGAGTTTGCCTGATGTCATTCTTAAAAGAATCTGACAGCAGGATTCGTGACAATGGCAAGTTGTATGGGAGGAAAATCAAATTGGTTACGGAAGCTAACGTTAATTCATTTATATAATCGTGGTAATGACACTATCTCAAGGGTTATTTAAGTAAGGCACATGAACTCAAAATAACTGTTATAATATGAAGTACTACACAATTCAGTCATACCTTATCCAGATCGTTTTCGTTATTGAACGGTAGACGGAATTAATGCAAATTAGTACCATTCGACGACAAACAAAATAATGTTTCAGGAAAAATGCCTCCATCGCGAATACAAACGAATGCGACTTTTTAAAAAAAAAAAGTGCTTACAATTAAGTGTCTGGAAACGCCTTAGAGATATAAAGCTTGTTTCTGCTCAACTATTTTTTTCTGTGTTACTGGAAACTTCATTTCGAATTTTCAAAACATGAACAGTTTTATGTTTTACACACGTAAGATATGCATCTCTGCAGGTTCAGTGTTTATTTTTTCATATTCACTTTTATCTTTTTAAAAGAGAACTTTCTTAGAGCCGTGCATATTTTGGGGTTTCAAGAACTCCGACATGATAGAGATTAGGTTGCATCCTTACTTTCTCTTGGAATCGCTACATTTCCAACTTTTTAAAAATGTATGTTGTCTTCTTAATCTGTCTGTTTTCATCGTTTGATTCCAACTTAATAAGATAATAATTAATTTCAATGAATATCATGATATCAGTTGTATCAACAAATAAATTAGAAAACGTCCTTTACATTAATAATGTGATAACGATTTAATAAAAAGAAAACAATAACAATTATCTTTTAACAAATCGCTGTCATGGGACCTCGTATGACCTAATAACGCTGATTTGCTGATAATAATAAAATGATATTTTCAAATGTGATGACAATGATAAGTTCCGACTCAGAACACGTTATCTCGGCCATAGTTCCAAAGCTGTCACTCAGTACCACAAAATATGGTTGGTAGTCCAACGTCCGTGCATTTGAAAGCTTGATGGACAAACCGTGGTCCCATGGGTACTCCGTTTGCGTTTGTGTTCCGTGTGACATTTGTGTCGTTCGTCGCAGTCCTTACTGACAGGGATACTAATTTGCCTTGACACCGCCATCCGTCTAACTCAATATAATGAAATCACAACATCTTGCACAGTAGTCCCCATCAAAGTCACAGCACCAAGACTAGGCTAATGCCGATTTATAGAGTAATACGCGCTACGTTATCAGCCTGTATGATTTCTACTTATTCACAAGGAATTAATCGTAGAGGGTTGGTTGTTTTACGGTAAAAGTCTCATCTGATTTACTCAGCAGACTTGACATCATTCGATTTTGTTCCTACGATAACGTGTATTAATCCGCGATGCCTGCGAAGTAACACAAGTTAACTGCCGGACTATATGCCGCGGTTACACTAGCCACCGGGATATGTTACACACTTACATAAAAAAGAAAAGCAAGACTCCTTATGTACGACTTCTAATCAGAACCAATAACACCAAATAACCTATGCAAGATATTTTTTACAAGTTCTGAAAAATAGGAGATTAAATGTCATTAGAGTTCATTGCTCTGCTTGTTATGCAAAAGGTGCCCTGCAGTTCATCTGTCGTTAATCACTTTAAGGTTTTCTGATATTTATCTATTGCAATGTCTCAGTGGTTCAAAGAAGAAAACTTGAGAAACGCAAGAGTCGAACCATCATTTATCGAGACAGTGGTAAAGCATTCTACAATGTGACGAAGCTTACATCCAAACAACGGAGGCACGGTAATCTAGTGTAAGGACGCCCGGCTCGTTACCGAAGGGATGCGGGTTCGAGTCATGGTACGGCATTGTGTTGTATCTTTGAGCAAGATACTTTACCACGCTTGCTCCAGTCTACTCAGCTGTTAATCAGTTCGTGGTTGGGCAGTGCTAGAATTGTTGAAATCTAGCTGTGAGCGCCGAAATGGCAGCACCGGCTGTATGCTCCCCAAGGAGTTGAGAAAGATATTGGCTGGTTGGGAAGGCCCTATAACCACGTATGATAATTTGTGAACCGCTTTGAAACGACCTACGAACTAGGTTGTGATAAAACGGTATATAAGAACCTCAAACTATTATCATTACTATTACAACGGATTTTAAACGAAGAGTTTACCTGACTATTTAAAACTATTATCAAGTCCGTTGATTGACGATCCGCTCTTAAATAACTGCTATTACTGGTACGTAAGGCACATTTTGTCAGTAATAAAACGTACAGTTGTATAAAAACAAATAAAACTGAAAGAACGAAAAAAATAATCTGTAATTTCTTTCAAATCTTTGAAATAGGAAACAAAAAGTCTTAAATTGCTTCCACTTTCTTTGGAATCGGAAGAAATCAATATGGCTATGTATTCCGCAGTAATTATAAGTATCTGCAATTCTTCATTTGACGTCTCGCAGCTTCAGATAGGCAACCGGTTGAGGGGAATTGCCTCCAGTTGCTTTTTAGGTTCAAATGGACGGGACGAATGTGATGGCTTTGCGTTTTCATTACAATGAGCAACAGCAGAAATTGGATTCTATTCCTGGTGTCAGGAGTCTTCTTTATGAGAAAAAGCAAAACGTCGAAGTGTGTTTCTTTACCAGCGAGAGAGGGAGTGTCACTGATTAGTTCTAAATTCGTATTATTGAGCAATAATTTCAGGCAAAGACGGAGGCAGGTGCTGATGAAAGCGACTTTATAGGGAAAAAAGGTTGTTGGTTTTGTAATATAAATAAACGGAACAGATTGTAAGTGACAGAAATTCTGGTGATTATTGCAGGAAATTAAACCCCGAAAGATAAACTATGACGTAAAATCGATTTGATGGGCTTACCATCATCTGTAGCATTGATTCTGTTACCGAGGCTGGAAGTCAGATGTGCTGCAATTTTGCATGCAATAGCGTTGTAAGAATTCTAGTATACCTGGAAGCTACATTTCAACTCAGCACTTCTCCTTCTAAGTAATATGTGGTCTCAAAACGAATTTATCATCATTATAATAACTGTAACAAATAACCATGAAATGGAAAATAAGCATTCAAAATACGTCCTTATTCGGAATTGGTGGTCAAAGGCGTATCGGGGAACTAACCAGACACATTGTTCCGGAGTCGTGATATCGGAAATCGGATTCCATCTCTTCATTGCTTTTAAATCTCTCCTAGAAATGCGTTGACGTTTGAGTTTAAATCTTTCAAACGGGGAATCAGCAACGCCATTTTGCGCGTATAATGAACACATTTTTTTTCATACGATTTATTTGACTATATAATGTCGCTATTAAACGTTATAACGTAGTGTGAAGTACAAGCACGCTAATGGGATCCATTCGGTGTTTCGTTTTCGAAATTTTATTCTAGAAGGCTGAGCTCATACTACTGTACTGGACCTTTTATGGATGTCGCTGTTTGTGTTCTAAGATATTTATAGAACGTTCAAGATAGTCTACAGACAACTAATAACACAAAATAGAATTTCAGTTATGCAATTTCTTTTTTATTTTATTTTTTTCATTTCTTTTCCTCTGTCCTTAACTTGTTCAGTATTCTCTTTTTAATGACTATAATGTTTTATTCGTTTTTGCATATTTGCAGATATTGATTTTCCGGTACTAAGATGATCATTAGGACTAAAATTGTTTTTAAATGTGAATTTATTTTTAACTTTAGACAGGACAAGAATATCTTAAACAACTGATGAATTAACCCTTTAGATAACATAATACTTCTAAATTCAATTAAAAATACATTAAAATCAATTAAATAGCCCAAGAGAATTTAACAAAATTCCGTTAAAACTCAATCAATTTCAAGCAAATGTCCACTGTTTCTTAACTCATTCATCCCAGTGTTTATGCATATTACCAAGATGAATATGAATCTTATATTCTTATCACGTGAAACATGTGTTACATTCTCCTGGGTATCGTAGACTCCATGGAAACTCATTTTGCCCGAAGATATACTTTCAGAACCTTGTCTTTTGGTTATCCATCATTTTGTGATTTAAATCTTTGACAGGATCTTGTGTTGTACATTTGTGTTTCCGTTCGATGTCCGTCGCGGAAAAAAACGCCATCCTCCGCGAGGTCATAAAGGCACCGGTTGCCAGAAGGTCTCGAGGACATAATTCATGAGTCTAAAAACAAATAAAAACAATACGCCCACGGCTTTATAGCATAACGGAAAGGGACATTCAAGGAAATAACAGTCAAGTGTAATGTGTTTCATGTTGATCCATGTGGTATGTACATAGTTGGCCCTGCGGTGGACGCATTGTTTGTATCAATATATATAGTAACATCCTGTGCATGACCTTATCTAGTCCATCTTGTGTGTGCCGTACACTGTTGATCTGACCGTGTCTGTGAAATTTTCTGACCATGTTGCGCTTGCTTTAAGCGATGCCATGGACACCTGCCCGTTGTCTACGAGAACGGGAGCCATGTCAAAGATGGCGGATACAAAAGTATGAGGTTGTGTTGATGCACATTATTGTTACATGAAGCATTTCCGGAAATAGTTTAATAGCATTATGCTTGTATTTACACGTATCCTTGTTAAGGCGTATTTTGGTACTTACATCTTACCTGATATAACGTAGAGACAGTTCCCAGACCGATGGAGGAGTGCCTATGGTGAATATTTGGCGATATAGGTACGGGGCATATTGTAAGATTTCCTATCTTAAAAAATACGTCTACTTATATAAAGACAAAGAGTTAAATCCAAACATCATCTTTATACCGGTAAATTACACGATAGTAGCATTGTGCATCACACTGAGTGTTATGTGTGATGACAGATCTTTATAGCAAAATTATCATACATAACCTCAAGCACAAGTACTCAAACAAGTTGAAGCGAACAAAGGGAGATCATTCACATAAAGCACTTTTAAAGTAAATTAATGAACTTAAATCAAAACCCGATGACTTTTATTACAGAAGATAGTTATTCGACGAGACAAGACTTTCGTTATTCCATCCAGTAAAAGACAATGTGTTGTGTTAAGAGCATTCCCCTATAGAATAATACATTTAGTCAAATTCGCGTCAGTCTTTCCAATTTGTGAAAACCAATATGGCCGCCAAAAGCGAATGGGCAGCAAGGGACAGTCGAACCGATCGTTAATTTGTCTGAGGGTCACATTCGCAGAGTCAGACGGAGAAACAGCATTACCTCGTGTAACCTGAAGGATCCGGGTTATTATACGGCGCACTGTGGTACCATGTCGTTTTGTACATTGATGTCACCTTATGGTAGAAACGAGAATTAGAGGCGGTCTTATTTACAAAGGGCGTATATTTTTCACGTTATATGGTGTGTTTGGTGACACTTGGCGTAATTTTGGTTTGGCGGGCTGATAAAACGCATCCGTAAACGTCTCCATTGGATTAGCAGTACGTAATTCCATACCTCGACGGTGTGAGGAGGCCAGAGTATTATGACCGCTGGAGCTGGGTAATTAGTCACTACGGTTGTAGCGTGGACAACGCACAATAACAAATTGATGGCAAACATGCAAGAGGTCGAGGTGACGGTTTGGGAGAAGTGTCGGGGTGGCCATCATTTCCATCTACGACGTATCGCCAATATCGTTATACCTTCGGGTCAATGGTGTTTTTATTTATTTACTTTTCTTATTTTCATTTATTAATTGATTCATTATCCTTATTTATTTAATTAATTTTAGTTGTTATTTTATTTATTTGGTTGGGGGGAAAGAGGGTTGCAATAACAAAAGAAACAGAAACGTTATGAATATCTATTGTATAAGATGAGGAACCATAATTGGATCAGACACCGATATAGTATAAAACTTGTTGAGTTTAGATGAGCGTAGGTAATTATAATAATTACGCCAACAGTTTGTAAACAAATACAACTTTAAAGCTTCGCATATTAGATTTTCTTCCCGTTTTTTATTTTGTTTTTTAGGCTTAATTTACAGCGACAATAACCCAACCAACGCCTTAGAAAATAATTCTCAAACAACGTGATGAGAAATTGGATAAGACTCCCGGTCTGTAAATAGCAGTGCTCGTTATTACAATGTGGAAAGCATGTCATGTGGTTATTGCTTGAATTTAAATTGTCGAATTAAACTGACAAGACCAAATAATGTTGGCCCATTTGCGCATGCAACTCGTTACAACTTGACAACATTTACGATCGATACTTGGAAGACTCTTCCAACCCAATGATTTTGATCAGTATTGAGTTTGTCCAACAAATGTTACAGTATTGAAGACCACACTAAGATTACCTCATTGTCAATTCAGCTCCAGCTACTGATGTGAGAAATTGTGTGAAATTTATTTTTTCCCAACATTCCTCAAAAATTGAGAAATTTGTCGATATTGAAAGTGTTTTGTTTTTCTCAAAAATAACCAATTACTGAGAGCGAGAAAAATACAAAGGGAATAACGTATTGGTACAGAAGTGTTGTTGGTGATTTTGAAATAAATGATTCTCTTGCAATCAAATTTCGTCGTGACTTTGAATATTGAATCAATCTGAAATGATTTCATGCTATGTTTTAGATAGGAAAATGGGTGTCAATGCCAGACTTCTTCGATTCGAGAATTCAGTTCCGGGACAGGATCAACAGAGGGAACAAAACACAACCATTTCCTCTAAGAGGAAGAAGGGCTAAAGTCGTCATGATTTTGGTAAGGTTCGCAAATGTTTGGATCCGTTGAACAAATATTTTGTGTGTGGGCGTGTGTAAACTTTGTCTTAATATAAACCTTGCCATATTGAAAAATGATTTAGCTCATTCTGAGTGATATTTGCCGTTTTCCAAATGTTTTTCCCATATTCATAAAACTTACTATCTTTTCTGTGAAAGCAGAACTTTTATCAATCAATATAATACCAATTGCGTTAGTGTAAGGAGTAATATTTGCATATTTAGGGGGCATTATACATGTATATTCAGCCTGTGACTTTTATTTTGAGTTATCGTCAAATATGGCATTAACCTACAGCTGAGTTGATTACATATGTACACAAGTTTTATCAAGATACGTTTTTTTATCTTTAGAACGTACCATCAAACAATAATAAAAATAACAATAGGGTATCAAACACTTTATTGAAGAAGCTGACTGTCAAAGAAAAGTATGGAGTTAATAAATTCCAAAATTATATTCTACAGTCACCAAGTTAATCCATTGTTTTGCTTTTATCTTTAAGTGACAATTTATCTTTTGTTAGTTTAAAGAACTCTATTCTTTGAGACTCTTTGTTCAGAAAACGAAACACCCAGTTTATCTGTTTGGGATTTAATGAGCTCACAATGAGAACTACGGTAAAGGTGTTCATGTGTGATGTAGATAGCCTACCATCTTAATTAGCACAGTTTCATTGAACAGATGAAAGGTATCTCGTATCACTTGCCCGACCTGACTGGAGCGTTGATTAATCATTTCTAAAAACGCATACCTTGCGAGACTTTTGTGACAGAATAATAAAGATGATATAAACCAAATATACTCAAAAAGGTGCTCTGTGTGTAAAAAATCATCTCGGCTAGAAAAGTATCCTGTCACTCTACTCAACTTTGCTATTTGTTCAGACGTAGCACCCTAGTAAAATTGCACTATAGTTATATCCAAAACAGAATTAAGGGGAGGTAACTGTATATGCGAATTGTTTCTAGTGTTTGACCTACAGTTGGAAGAGATCCTTAGTCATTGTGAGGTTTTCCGTACATGGATAGGTCAATCAGTGTGTTCACTGCAATTCATATAACACTTGCACGACTTACTTACCCTCCCCTCTTTTCATTTACAGGAACAACCATTTACCATGCATAAGCGTGATTACCGCTTACGTCACGGTAATGACCGCTTCGAAGGGTTCGCCGTAGACTTGATCAAGGAGGTGGCGGAAATGCTTCAGTTCGACTACGATATCTATCTCGTCCACGATGGAATGTTCGGGTCTAAAATTGACGATAGCAACGAAGAATGGAACGGAATGATTGGAGAACTTCTGGCGGGGGTGAGAAATACCGATACCATTCCATATATTTAACAGGCAATTACGTAATCTTTGTTCCTACGATAAGTACAGGTACATATAGTTATCATTGAGATGGAACGGAACAGTCGCCAAGAAGCGAAAATATTCTCTGTAACTCTGTGGTTCCATGTCACGATCAATTCGCTCAGGGCCTGGTTAGCTTTTGTACTATCTAAATTCTTTAAAAAAATAAAATAAAATAAAATAGAAATCATTGATCAATATCATAAATATATTATCTGAAGATAACGTCGATACACGTTTGAAGATTCACGTCTTTTTGAATATAAACAAACGATTTCTGAAATTTGAAAATAAAGCTAGTAAGGCTTTTAATGCATTTACTTACTGTTAGTGTCCCTGCTCGCAAAGTTGTTTTACTACCTCGACATCAGACAAGGATTCATCACAGACTGCCACCGCCTCCTGTGTGTTTAGCGGTACGGGAATCAAGGTTGATTCAGTCTGTTCGTGACAAATAGACATCGGTTATATTTGTATAAATCTTGAAGGATCGCTGTAGTCATTTCAGGATGTTTGGGTTGTGCATTGCGTGAGTGAATCTCATCTTTCTTTACTTGTATACTGTAAATATCATATTTCTGACTCTAGCCTACGGTCAGGTCGTCACTAGGAGAAAAAATACCCTCTTACTACATCATGTGAGAAAAAGTTTTCTCTTGTAAACCATGTTTAAATATGATATGCTGACACCATAAGCGTGATAAATACCAATATCTTTAAAAATTATAAATTACTTTATCGGCATTTAACTTCGTAGAGAAATATATTAATTATATGGCCCCATTTGTCAATGTCAATTCAAACTAACCTGATTTCTAAGAGTAATATTGGCCCTCAATTGTATTTTGTCACATCTTATCTTGGTTCGTCGATACTGAATTGAATTCAATCGTTTAATACAGATTTATAGGTCATATAACAACTCCTTTACTTTGCTATGATGGTTAACGGTGGAGAGTTTGGTTAGGATTTAAGTTTTCACAACAGCATTTGGCGAATGACGACTGCATCCACTTGCTTATGTTTAGTGACTGTTACCCTGAGATGTCTCTCAAAAGAAACCCGACTCTGTCACAATGTTCTGACAATAACTTTTCTAGGGAAGAATAGGTATAAGGAACACGAGACATGGATCCAAAGTGATATGCACCAGCATAACAGTTTTGATCTGTTCACATAAGATTGTTTTTAATAAACACAACAGGAAAGCATGATGAAAAGAAATTGCTAAATAATTTCATAACTTAATCTATTCAAAGTGTGATTAAATCGTCATTAAACTTGCTTAAATTGAACAACAATATCTATTTGTAGAAAATATCAGAGATGTTTTGAATAGTTTTAGTTTATAAAGGATTAACTTGAATATATTTTTCATGTATTTTTCATAACACAAAAAACGGTGTGTACTCTAAATAAACCGCGAAGCGGTTTATGATAAGAGTACACTCCGGATTTTTTGTGTTATAGTTCCATAACATGAAAAATATATTCAAGTTAATCCTTATAATTTAATCTACTATACACAATCCCTGTGGAAATCCACTTTTATTGATGGACTCTTTTTTCTTAGAAATTATTGCGCTGCTGTATCAGCCAATCAAAAGCGACGTTGCAAACGGCGACGTCATTTTTTTTATATTATGGGCTGATAAAATAAATGTTTAAGCCAATAAAAATGCTTGTTACAAGCAAGATTAAATTATTAACTGATATCAATCAATCAGCAGGTTATGTTTTCTCCTTCTATTATCCTGCTTCTCTATATCAAGATAACAAACAAATTTAAAATTTCATCCGGGATAACTGTTTCAGATCTTACATAAATACATACAATGTTAAACAGTATTTTACCTATGCTAGCAATATACAATTATAGCCTCACGCCGAGTTCATAACTTTTCTCTTCGGCACCAGAACAATCAAATGGCCAAATTTGTATAAAAAAGTTTTTCCTTTTTATTTTTCTGGAATTTCAATGCAATTGATCTGCTCGGGATTTTTTAATCAAATGTTATCTGAGAACGCAGTCCGAGCATAATGCACTTGTATTGTTGATAAAATTGACCGAATTTTGTGGGGAAAAAACCCATATCTGTATCGTCATTTCTCCGTGACTTATCTCTATTTAGAATTCTCCTGTTTTAATGACACGTTCTACTTTTTTTAATCTCAAAAAAATATGTATTTCCACATATCTACCTTGGGTTTCGCCTCTAAAAGAATCATGGTTTATCTCAGAAGAATAGATTCAAATGGACCTAATTCTGAGAGGATATTTTAAAGATTTACACGTATCATGCTAAAGTTTTAGAGATATCCCTTGGCTACACTATCAACGAAAATTCAATACAACAGGGAACATACATGTAATTGATAGCTTATTAGCAGTGAACGAGAAGTAAGGGAAGCCATATGTAAGTAACATTGTAAATTTTGTATCAACTTTATATGATATATTGCACAAGGATGGTAAAACATATGATAGATAACATTAAGTTGGTGTGAAAGCCCTTTCAACACGTTAAATGAATAGGATAACAAAAAAAGGACGTATTTTACTAGCAACTTTTAGAAATATAAAGGGCAAATTTCCAATCTTTTAGCAACTTGTTGAGAAAATGATTTGAATATCATAATGCTCGTTATTACATTTCAAATCCCTCCTTCAACGACTTTCATCCAAATTCGTGTATGGAGCTTCAATATGCACTGGCAATGATATCTATACCGCTTTAATGGATAAACAATTAAGTATAAATATTCGTTATTGATTCTCCTGATTAAATAACTTCATCATTAAGAGTGAATATTTTAAAAATATGTTTACAGTAAAATGGTACGGTTTTACAGGATATCCTCTGTGTAAGCTTTACCACAGTAACCTATCACAAGAAAGAACGACGAGTACATATAGCGTCACTTGACCCGCTAACTACTAACAACTAACAGAAATTATAAAGTTTTTGTCGAAAATAATTAACGAATTTAATTTATTCTACTTAATTATTTCTTCGATTAACTTTATGGCAATCAATAATAAAGTGGGCATGAAAATTGGCTCTTCATCATCTAGGGTTGCGTGTTTAACGAAACAAGTATATTCCAATCACACAGTGTGATTGGACAATAGAATATGTAAAGACTGTGTGATGAAGACCCAAGAGTAAGGTTTTTCTGTCGAAGACGTAGCTCAGCCAAGATCAAACAATTATAGCCTTATCAGGATGGTTGATATTTTCTTGTCATAATTAAATATATTTCTCAGCCTCTTAACACCTACTAAGAATGCTACCAAGACAAAATAGTTCTGCCACTTTTACACATGCGCGAAAATATGATTACGCAATCCTATTGTGATAGTAATAGGCTGCATTAAGCGCTGACGTTTAATAATATAACCTAATTGCGAAGTGTTGATATTTTCAGAAAAAATGCACTTATAAACTTTCTTTTCCATCCTTGGAGTTCAAATATGTCTTTAGGGGTGAATGAGTTAAACAATAATGGAAGCACGAATCAAAAGTCTGGTCATCTGACAGTTCAGTAACGATGTTGTAAACAAAGCCTCACCAATGAGATTGATTATATATATATAAATAAATAAGGGTCGTTCCCCTCCAGATTGGATTACACTACTATGGTTATAACCAATATTAGATGTTATTAAGTGATGATTGGGAAGATAAACTTAGATACCATCCGTAATATGACGTTGGTAATATATTTATTAGTTCCTTATTTGTCACATTCCTGTTGACTTATACCATTATGGAAAGCTTACACGTGATATTTGACCCCCTAATCAAAGTAATAGACATATAGATTACCCCGAGCTGCCAGTTTAATGGGTTTAAGGTTGTGAGGACGTACGTCATTCTGACCTATGCTTAGCCCATTCTCCAAACCCATAGGTCTGACACATAATGGAGTGCTGATGGGAAATCAATACCTATAATATATCGCATAGGCGAATGACACATTGACCGTAAACATCGCAAATGGACACTGCAATACCGCAGACAAGAGAGGTCATCTAAAATATCAAAGATAGCTTTGAATATACTGTTAGATTGAATATGTCAATATCATTATTAGTTTTGAAGAATTATTGGCATATTGCAAGGACCACATCCTAAATATCCGTGATACATTTGTAATAGTATACATACAGGAATTCTAGGTATACTCTAAGATGCAAATAACACACACTGTTCTCATAAATAAATAACATAGGAAATGTATGCCATATCGTTAACACACTAGGACAAAATGTAACAAAGAGAAAGCACAAGATACCATTACGAGACAAAAGACATTCTGAACCCTTTCAAAACTTCATCTGTGAATAGGTTTGCTTTGAATAGGTCTGAAAAAATTATTTCTGTAAAAAAACATTTAATGTGATGCAGAAATTATCAAAGAAAAAGTATTTTAGGGAAAACCATCATATACATTGTAAGACTCCGCTGTTTTATATAGTGATTAATGAGGGGATTACATTCGTCATAGTTGACATTAAACGGTGAAATTAACATGACCTTAGATATATTTAATCATTGCCCTTAAGATCCTACAATTCGTACAAATGTGTTTGGTATGGACCTATGTCACTCGTTGATTATTTTTGATATTTTACTTTTCAGAATGCCACGATGTCTGTAGCTCCAATAAGCATCAACTCACAACGGGAGGAAGCAGTAGATTTCACTAAACCATTTATGACCCGCTACATAAGTGTCCTGATGAAACTTCCCAAATCTGAGAGGTCCTATTTTGAATTTCTGAACCCCCTGCACCATATTGTATGGTTCTGTACATGTGGCGCCTTTGTGGTAGTTAGTATAATACTCTATATGCTGGAAAAGATAGGGGCGTCTCATAATAAGGACTATCCGGCGATTTCCTTCCGCGAGAGCTTGTGGTTTGTTTTCGGGTCACTCCTTCAGGGCAGTACTGACGCCTCGCCGTCCACTCTCCCTGGCCGTATACTGACCAGCGCATGGTGGTTCTTTGCCCTCATCCTTATTTCGTCATACACAGCTAACCTTGCTGCTTTCTTAACGGTCAAGAAGATCAACGCCCCTATCAAGTCGGTCACCGATTTGGCATCTCAGACGAAAATACAGTACGGTACCGTTCGAAGCAGTGGAATAATGCATTTTTTTAAGCAGACGACAATTGAGCATTTCTCGAAGATGTGGGCCCAGATGTCTGAAGTCCGGGAACAGGACTCCATGGTTGACACTACAGCGGAAGGTTTTCAAAGGGTCAAACAGGGAAATTATGCCTTCTTTTGGGACACAACGGTTAATAAGTATATGACCATCATGGACTGTGAGTTTATGGAGATTGGTCCCCATTTCGATCCCAAAGGGTTTGGAATAGGGGTCCCTCCTGGCGCCACCTATCGGGAGGAATTGTCAATGGCTATCCTAAGGATGAGTGACACCGGACTTCTACACGAGTTAGAAAACAAGTGAGTTTTGTTTTCGTTGATTATAAAGCATTTGCTTGACTGTTTTTGTTTTGCTTTTGGGGGGAGGGGGGGGGGGAGGTTCTTATGCCTAAACCTTCACGAATCTCTTCATTGCCTAAGTATGTCGCGGCATCCAAAACACATGGTCATAAAAATGCTTTTTTCAAAATGTGTTTTTCTCTCTGCTTTTCGGCACTTATAAGATTGTATTCAGAATTTGTTGTTGTTGTAGACCTCCTCTATCGGAAGACAGATCCATATATAAACACTGATTTTGTGAACAAACATCCCCGTCAGAGAAACGAAAGTGATATTAGATTCGTTTTTCACAGATAGGATCCTAAAATCTTCTGTTACGTCATCTTTGTAGCGACTGTTGACTAGACTTAGATAATTTAGTCTTTATAAACACTGTGGTATTTACTTTGTCAATCTCTGCTGAACGTTTTCAATTAGTTTCGCTATGTAAGAACACATAACTTGATTCTCGTTTTCGATAAAGGCTATTTCCGAAGCATAAGCATAGCACCAACGTCCTAATGTTCAAATGTGATTAGCCCAGAACACAAGAAGATGGGAGGATGTTGTGTCTACTTTCTCTTTGTATTATCTTTTCCATGTATACCATTGTGACATAAATAGTAATTTCTTCCTTGTTTTCTCTCGTTACATCTTTTGCCGCAAAAAGGGGACATAACTTAGGAGAACAACTACTAAATACTGTAGTTACAGTTTATAAAGCCAACAGTACCCGGTTGTGTAAGCATTAGTGTCTAATGACACTAACGACATTATCCTACTCGTTATTACCTATATTGCATCCTTGACGCCAACATTTGACTATCAATAACACTTGGAGACAGACAATTGTTGTGGTTATTTTCGTCACACCGATCCCATTTCTCTCCCCTGATACCAAGAGCGTACTATTCGTCCTTGTATGCTTAGTTATTACTAGTGGATTTTCCATCGGCCAAATGCGGGATTAACTGAATACTGCATTCGTGAATAGCAATTGAATTGATCGTGGATTCCAATCATCATGAAAGTGCCAATTGCATAGTTATGAGTCTGTCGAAATGTCCTCAAACAATGGCGTTAATCTAGTTTACGTAAAGTATTGTATCTTGAAAACGGGATTGTTCTTTTTTGTCGATCTGGTTTCTTGAATCCACGGAGGAATAGAAACAAATTATGCAGCCCTTGTTGTCTATAATACGTCTGAAGCCATAAAGTCTGCAGAATTAAACCAAAACTCAGTTTATATGAACTCGCTCCTTTTAATTGGTTGGCCAGTGTAACCATTCGAAGAGTGCTTGTCTTACATTTCATCATTTGTGTTACAGATGGTGGGGCCGGCGAAATTGTCCGGATTTTACCAAACCGTCAGCGGACGAGACGTCAGAGTTACAGATAGAAAACATTGCTGGAGTGTTTTTCATTCTAGTAGGCGGCATAGTGTTCGCAGCCATTGTGTGTGGGTTTGAACATTTCACAAAAATGCTCCATAACGCTGCAAAAAAGGTAAATAAATTAATAAAATACACATGGCTCTCGTTATTTTGGAAACAATAGAACGAATTATCCGTATCAACATTATTGATATCTGATTGGTTTTTTGTCCATGTATTTATTTGATCGTTATACTGTCATTGTTGCGTCATGGGTATCTGCAATATGGCTTAGCACTGCCATTAACATTTGTTTCCGTAAACATGCTTTGATAGCAAACCATTCAACATAATCCTTGGAACGAAAGTGTTTGTTCTGCTCTCGGAAACTCATTAACAATCAAATAATGAAAATACGTGTTTTTATGTTTTACATTTGTTTAAGGTTCTAGGCTCCGGTACATCCAATATTTCTTGAAAACTGCCTCTTCAGTACAATGCAAATTGATATTGCGCATGAAGCAATGTTTTTTTCGGTTCGATATACATATCTCTAATTAATAGAACGCTAGATAAATATGCATAACAGCATGATGTAAAGCGTGCTGTGTTATCGGTATTATAAACCATAGTTTTTATGCAAAACTGGAAAATAATATTTAATTTGAAATCCTTTATCCTTGTCAGAGGTGGGTCGTTCTTGGTTACTTATACACACAGAAAATGTGTACCAGGCCCGCCATTACAAACCTCCCATTAGTTTCTGATCAATAAACAGATGTCAATTCAAGAGAATTTCATTATTGAGTCATATTTGCTGAGTATTAAATGTTTTAAATATAATCCATATCTAATACAATACATGCAATACTGGCATTCACAGCTATGACAATACGGCGCTTTTAAGTTATTAATCAGAATATAATTGAGTGTTCGTGTTTCCGAGTGTATTTACGCACTGCATGGTGCTTTGACATTAAATGTTAAATGAGAGGTAAAGACAAATATTTATTTCTATCCCCGACTTATTGATTGTAACCTGTACCGCAATAATATAGAAAATCGGCTTTCTGATGAATTACGTAGGCCGATAGACTTAATTCTTGTCGTTCATCTCTGTCAGCTATTTACTCAGCTTTTAAGTGAAATTACAAAATCAAGTATTTCAAAAAAACATATCTTAGTGAGATCTACTCATTCTTCCGGAACTATTTTCAACATGTGACAAGATCATTTATCATAAAACAACTAAAGGTTGAAATTACTTTTTCGCAACCTCAACAATAAAAAAAGAAAAATACTTATCTATGTTTGTGCTGAAGAAGCATTTCAGCCATGGCGAGAAGGCTTGGAATAGTGCAGTTTATAAAAAGATATAGGGCCATTCCTTAGGGCATCGTTAACTTAAGGGTATATGTTCCTTCACATATTGTTGCCACGTGTTGAGTTATCTACCTTAAAAAGGAAAAAATCTTTATGATTTCCAATTTCTTTGTTTATATTTTTAAAATACTTGATGGTGAATATGTTGGATCTTGGTCTGACAAAACAGTTAATGAAGAAAATATTATGACGCTTACAGTTTTAATGTAACTAGCTGTTGAGTCTAAAGCTTGATATTGTTTTCAACACATTAATTTTGTACAAACTGACATAAAAAAAAAATCATATTTTGTTTTACAGCAGAAAACACCACAAGCTGAAAAGGAACGTGAAAGTTTTTTACTTCCAACAAGAACGTAGATAATAATTCATGTGACGTCAAATTCGTTCCAGTACTTTTGGATTCCTGTGTTTAAAATCTTCATATATAAAAGCATGTTCAAACCACCAAGGAGATTTCAACAACGATGGATTGAAATATTAACTTTTATAATCTGTAACGATTCAAGGCATTCAACGAGTAGCAATAGCCACTAACATTGACGGAAACAGAAACTAACACAATTAAGCTTCCGTATAATTATGATGGAAAAAGGAATTCAATGTTTCGGATAAAATTAACGTTGATAGAGTAATACGTTAAATTGGAATGCTACAACTATTCCAAAAAAGCCTAGTATGTAAATGTGTTGTGTATGAGATGGTAGTTCCTTTGAACACTAGTATGGATCCAGTATGGCATGTTACGTGTGTGATAAGTATAACAGTTGTCAATCAACATTGGATTTTTTGATTATCGGAAAGTGTTAGCGTGACAGGTACCATAGTACATCTATCAATGATAATGAGAAAGAACGAACACCTGTAATAATATACTTGCAATGGTGACGACAAATTTGAGTATGAATGAACGTTTCCAAAGGAGTATGACTCCATGCTATTGATACATAATATACACAAAAGCGCAGAGGGTAAATGGTATCCAGGGAGAAAATGACCGTATCAGGTGAAGAACGTATATAACCCTAGGGAAAATATGAGGTTATGATAGAGATCTGGTAACTGGCGGTTGTGATAATAAATGATGTATCCCAATAAAAGAGACTAACGTCAAAAAAAGGTAGTCGAGTGATTCTGCTATTAATGTTTCTTTCATTATGTGGAGAACTGAGTAATGTACCAGTATGAGTTTAATTGAAAGCAATCTCTGCACCAAAATGAATCATTCCGTTCATTATCAAGTACATTGTCACGATCTCTTTATTTTAAGGTGTTGTGTGAAAGAATTTAATGCGATGCACCAACACAGTGATTCCCTACTCATAATGGGACTTCCGGCCCGGCAATCCTATTCATAAACATGTTTTATCGTCACACTCCCAGTGGGGGAAAACCAGATGAAGAAATGAATATTCTTTGATTTGTTTGTTTGGTTGAATGATGTATTTCGGGATAAAATAATATCTGTACATAGCTGATTAATATGTCTCCTTGTATACACCTGTTGAATATATATATTTCTAGAATGAGTGCTGAAAATAAGTAAAAATGTATACTCTGTATATAGACCTTTGATGTGACGGATGACTGTAGCATTAATCGATGATACTGAAACATACGATAAGGTTGGGGGTTTTTACCTTTAATTGGCCTTACTACTCTTTATACTGTCACCCTAGAAACTAGAGGGACGTAGTACTGTTTCTTGAAGTATTAGAATTCGTGATATAGCTTTTCGAATACTTATAAAAAGAGAACGAAGTTTAAGGATAATTCGTGTTAAAATAAAGCGGCAGGGAACTAATCTAATTAATTAGTATAGAAATGCATTATGAATCACGTCAGTCAAATTACAAATGGTCGCAAATTAAACTACAATGTAATTGAATTTATCGAATCAAGTATCACAGCTCAGGTTGCAGGTTGTGGTTTGAATAAAGCGTCGCCATGGTGATGTTTATTCTCAGCTTTTATCGTCTCATAAGGTGTGTCGTATAATTGGCTTGCATAATACTCCACAAACAAATGATTCGATTGATATAAAATCTAAGGTACATCAACCCAATAAGTTCAACAAGGCACATATCGTAGACAACCGAAAAACTATGTAAGTTAGCATAAAAGACTCGCAATCAATGCATAAAGTCGATGTTTGTGTGAGAGTGAACAAAAATGACTCGCAATCGTTGCCTTCAGTCAAAGTTAGTATCAAAACTTTATATCTAGGTGGCCTGTTTATGTGATCACGGTAGAGGTTTTGTCAGTTAGGGGGTTGGATAATCCAAATGAATACTTTTACAATGATGAGCTCTTTAGTTAGACTCCAGATATTACTACGATGAACATATAGTTACATGACTTGTGAAATATTTAAGAATTTACAGAGTTTGGCATGCGTCCAGTTTGATATCACATCCTTTACCAGTCTAAGAGTCCCGATGTCAGCCAGATGAGCCGGAGGCCAAGGAGTTTATATCGGACTTGAAGTCTCATAAGGAGTATGCTATCGAAATGGTCAGATGTTAAACTGATTTTAGAATTTAGTAGACAATTGATAAAATATCCGTTTATACTAATGCAGTTCATTTAATTTTCACGAGTGTGCTTAAAATTCATAATTTGATATCACACACCTTATCCACGACAGTTGATTTAACAGTTGCATTGCAATAATCTCCCATACAATTGCGAAAAGGGTTATCAAGCCCAGTCTAGAGTTTATATAACAGTCATTTCACTGTGCCATACAGCATCACGTGACTTAACAAAACATCGTCTTTCTTTGAATTTTGCGTTTCAGGAAAAAACTCATTCCAACTTGCGATGGTCGCTTATGACTTGGAACTCATTTTCGCAATTGTTTTGATTTTGCGATTAAATCCTCTCGTGAATTAAGGCGAATATATATAAATGTCTCGCGACAGTAAATTGTTTAGCGGTATATCATAACAAGCAGGTGACCATTTTGAATCTTTCCCTATATGACAATATGTCAGTGCCTTATGATGATGGTAGTTATACTAGACGTTGTTTGGCGCATTTCCTTTCAAATATGTTTACACTTCACTTCATGTTATGTGGCAAGTTATAGGTTTTTGTCCCTAACATAATAACCTATCTGTAAATTAATCCGCTCAGTAGATAAATGTTAGTTAACTCGTGTCAGACAGTCTAAATTTGTTCCTATGTCTTCATTCTGTAAAATATTACTCGTTCAATAGCCCTCGGGGCTGTTTCGAATATCACCATTTGTTTAAATTGGGTTCTTTCGGAATATGAAAAAAAAAGACTTCTATTGTAATTTTAGATTATATTTTTATGAAATTTTCTATTTCTATGATAGTTTGATTATGTTTTGAGGTCAATCACCGATCCTTGTTCCTGAGGTTTTTATTTTCATTCAGCAAACAAATGTCCTTTGCTGCAAACATAAAATTTCCAAACATTACTCATGCTAAAAAGTTAGAGGGCATTTGCTTCGTAGGTTTAATTTGATTCCTATCATGCAAAAATGTATCACAGGTTTATATGATAGCATTCGCTAGATTTTCTTTTTAACGTAGGTTTTAGTTATTGTTGTGAACTTCCATTTGATGTTTTTGAATGTGAATACCGTGCTGAAAATACAAATTCGAGTTTCCGTTATATTTTAAACGAGTCTTTCATAAGGAAAAATATTATTACGAAACCAACTTGGAAGAATGATTGAAATTATTCACCACGTATTCAATTTTACTATTTGCACTGTGAATTTAAAACGATCCACAAAAGATATGCATCACCAAATATCTATGATTGGTGGTGAGTATTCGGATCAGGTCATTTTATAAGATGTACAATAATACCAGTTTCCTCGAATAAAGGTAAAATTATAGTGTGTTTTGATGTAGGTGAACATGATTATAGTTGTTCTCGATGTCATGAATCATAGACCGGAGATAAAAAAAAAATCTATCCCTGTACGAGATGCTCGAAGTATGTGTAATAATGATTAAATGTAAATCAGATTATCTCTGTAGTAATATATGGGGTTACTCTGTTTTACTTCTTTGTGATATTGATATATGACAGATGTCGGGTTTTCTATTCTTAACCTGTTACAAGTAGCCCATTCTGACCTATCTATATGTAAATATATCATATAATAATATTATAAAGAGTTTATTTTGTTCTTAATATATTTATAATTTAAGTTACATCATGCGTGCATTGTTTGTTTGTCTGTTTGTCTTTTTGGGGTTTAACGTCCTCCTCGGAAGAACTAGTATCATATGAGAACATCATCGATATCCAGGTGTTGCGCTCACGTACGCTCTCTGCACCCCTTGAATATGTCATGGCAAAATTGAAGGCGCGAAGATAGCTGTTTGATTGATATCCGGTAAAAAAGAAAAGAAACTGACCAAACGCTGGGCCGATACCTGTCCTTTGAAGATTACAAAGGAGCGACACCCAACTTCAAAGCCTGTCAATTTTTACTGTTACGTTACCGCGAGATTATATTGATGTACATCAACGGGTCGAACTACTCTTTCTGTCTCATCCACAAGGTGGTGCACACTAAGCCTTTTATTTTGCGATGACATATTCCAGGGGTGCAGAGAGCGTAAATAAGCGTAACCCCTGGAGTATCGAGGATGTATGAGGACGGCATGCGTACACGTTTGTGTCTATTTGTAAGAAAAGATGCAAGTGAGTTACATGGGAGGATTTAGATGAATGTATTTAATTAATGGTATGGTTTTTATTTGGCTAATCGTTATTATTAGAATTTTTATCCAATTGTACATACGAAACATAGCTTATAACCGCTTTAGTTCTTCCATAATATTTCGTGTTTTCGGTTAATCATTAAGTGCCCCCATAGGTTAACAAATCAAACACTTATTTCTTAGAATTCCGGAGGATACTCTATAGTATCATAAACTAAGACACATAATGAATGCCTTTTGAAGTCGAAATGGTTTCTCCGAACATCACTCGAGTTCAGCTTGTGATAGATTGACACACTTTGCTGTGATAGAATGTTACTGATGTAGATTTATGAGTGAAATATCCCTGCTGCGTTTCCTATTTTTTCTTAGAATTAAATGCCTATCATGTCTTTCAACAATTCCATAGAACACTTGCATATAGCATCAAGTCTTGCCCATATGGCAGCTCATTTCTACGTCAGATCAAATATTTCTGTTTTAATTTTTCCTTGTCACCTCTGCACCTTCACCCATAGGCATTTCCTCGTGTTAAGCTGTTGTAACGAGATTTCTGGACATTAAAGTTATATCTAAATAACCATTTTGTCGTTATTGTTCGTTTGTGTATTTACTGACATTATCTGTTGTAGTAATTAGAAAAATGGTGATGATCTGTTTATCTGTACGCAATCAGCCGATGTCTTGTTAGCAGCTTCACTACGTAAATAAGGACTGATCATGTATAAGAGACTCGATTTTATTATCAAAATTTAAATAGGGATTGAACGGCTTTTTTCATTTTCCATGCCTGTACGAACGCAAATCGATTTCATCTATATTGCATAAAGCCCGCTAGGGCTACACGTTTAATATAGAGGTAAACGGTTTGCGTTCATAGTAGGGGAAGAAACTGTTCTTTTGGATTAAACTTTTTTTTTCTTTTTCTTATGCCAGTATGAACAGTAGCGGAAGAAACCAGAGTTCTGGCTCACTTTCACCCGCTGGATTAACATGGGGAAATGGTATCCTCCGAAGGCTTTTCCCCATGTTAATCCAACGGGAGAAAATCAGCCAGAACTCTGGTTTCTTCCGATACTGTTCATACTGGCATAAGAAAAAGAAAAAAACCCGTTTAATCCAAAAGTTACGTTTTACTATAAAATCAATTGCAAAATATTATTCATTTGTTCTTAAAAAATTAATTGATTTACTGCGTTTTGTATAAGCGTCGTACTTTAAACGACATTGCCGAAAAAGACCCATTTGAATAAACTTTGCGCCAATAATTACCGTAGTCATTTTAGCGTTTGACGCGGGGCATTTTCCAGGTTATCCGAAGCGAAGCGATAAAACTTTCATTGAACAAGGTTTATCTATGACGTCATTAGTAAACCACGTGTTTCGTCACGAGAGTGTTTGCTTGCATACTCAAATGAAATGCATTTCTGCTGGTTATGTTCATATAGTGGGTTGCAGCGCAAATGCAGATAAACGTGATTGATGTTATGTATATAACGAGAGTACGATACTTTTGAATATCCACACAAAGTTTGTTTAAATATAATGAAAATATAATGCTATCTTATCATATCATGAAGTAGATGAAGCTTTATACAAAAGAATCATTTATTAAATTGTTTGTAACGTTAATTCAAAAAACTACCTAAACGCTACATTTCTTTGACTCAATTAATATTAACCCCGATACAACCACGGTAAATTGACAATTATCCTCGAATAAAACGTTATCAAACTTACATGAAACGTTATATTCATATCGTTGACGTTGAGCTAGAATCCCTTACCATTGATTTATTGGCGGACATTGTTATTTCCGGTTATTTCCTTTGCCAAGAATTGAATTAGAAAACATATAGTAAACACGTTTGATTTATATCAATATAACTCAACTCTATAGTTTTATACTGTAAAATAATCGAAAATTGAAGTTTCGAATGTGCCAGGAAGCCATTTTGACACCGAGATGTCAAGACGTTGACTTGAATTATGAAGTCTGATCCGGAATATGCAAAGCATTGTTAGCTTAGGAAAAAAATATATTTAAAAAACGAGATATTTTTTCGAAATACCTAGACATACTGTATGTGTTGGTGATGTCTTCAAACGATTCAATTCATTTCAAATCATAAATATGCAGGGTTTGGTTTTCATTTTAAACTACATTACTACATGATCATTTTGCATATTTTGACGTTAAGTTGATCAAGCGTTGCAACCAAACAAACACAGAGCAGTGTTGTGTATGATCTTGTTCCATAGTTATCGATGACTATTATCTCACGTCCGCGCTAATGATACAGGGATTAGAACGCTTAAACCGGAGGGACACGCCCGATTACTCCTAGTTTTCAGGCACGCTCCCAGCCTATCTCTTTGATTTCAATACTGACAATAATTCCACTGACGAGAGCGCTGTCAGTGTAAATACTTGATCTAGAGAACTAGTGGACATGGAATTCGGTGCATTTTTGTCAGAAATTGGAGAAGACACATTTAAGTATCATTTCCTCCATAACTATAAATTACTGGTCGCGTTTCTTTAACCAATCCGGGCAATTTTACATAATGGAGTCGACAAATTCAAAACTTGATAGCTGATAATGTACAATCTATAAAAGTACGACACACATTTGGATTCAATTTCAATTTCTTCCCATGAGACTCAATGAGGTAATGCAGAGATATACATAACCTGTCAAGTTTAGAGTAAAGTGTCTGCCCCTTTTTGCGGAGTGATATATCTATCATTTGGAACTCGAATATCTATATTATAGAATTAGAGACGACTTTGTCCCCAGACGATAACATATCTGCATATGTGATGTCATATAAAACGAAGATTGATCGAACCCTTACTCGGCCGAGGTAAATAATGGTACGGCTGTTATCAACGTTGATTAGACGGTTTCGGTGTTTACATACAAGTACGAAACCCTTGCCATGCAATTAACTGAATCGAGGACTACTTGGATTGTGTAGCAATAAATCCGGATATGGTCACGGGGGAAGCCGGAATAATTATATTTTCTCACTGTGTACATTTATTTGAATGTTCAGGAGAATGTTTGCATGGAGTGGAGATTGCAGCAGATTCTGCCCGCTTTATATTTCACTTGTATATCACAGAGAGCACAAGAGCTGTGACTGGATCATACAGATGTTTGGGCAACCTGTTAAAATAAGCGTCCTCGGTAAAACCGGATGTTCATATAGAGTATGTGTTGTATATGCACTGTATCACAGTTCCTGGGACTTTTAGGTCATGTCCGATAAAATGTATGCAGACAACTTGTCTTGAAGAGATACAGTATGACCAACAGGTAAACACATGAACGCTCGATGTACCCAGACACCAAATCCGCACTGTGGTACGACAGAAACAGTGCATCGTTGATATTTAAGAACACAAATGTGTGTGTGTGTACACACTTTCAATAAATAATCACATGTGGATGTAGGTATATTGTGGTATAGGTATCCATTTCCGGAAATAACATATTTTCAAAATTATAATTTTAAGTCGTTTAATCTTTTTTATTATTTTAGTTAGTACTGTGATAAAATATCTTCTGAAGCAATTATATGAAATACAATGACAATGACATATGTAATGCATGTTTCACACCATCGATGGTTGCCGAGGAAGACTCGCTGTCTGGTTGTACGAGTTGTATTGTCCAGTAAATTATACCTAAAGCGCTGCAAAGTTTGAAGGAGTAAGTTTACATGGAGCATGCATAATATAATATACATGCAATACACATATATAAAAAGGTTGCTTATAGATACAGTCACACGTTTTTTAAGAAGACCGCCTGTGTTAATAGACCATTTTCAAAAACAAAACTTGAGTGATTTATGATAACTGAATGGATCTGTATATTATGAGACGACCTGCAATGAACGAAAACTTAATGGATACCCCAAGGGTGGGCACTCAATACAGGTTTGTATATATTACTTAATAATCTGTATTCTTCAATGAACGGTCACTACATTTGAATAAAGTAAGTGTGTTATGTACATTGTTCCGCTAAGGTTTAAATAACAGCTTAGTTATATGTCGATGTATCGATTGCGAAAACCTCCATTGCTTAAGCATAATAATGTAAAACCTATAATTAAGCTTACCAAATGCAACACTTATGAAATACAAGTACATGCATATATGATGGTTTTTTTTCTCTCAAAATAAGGCAACATGAACCGATTTATTCCGTTCTATAGACTATCTAAATGCAGAGCTACGTGTCTGTATAAGCATTTCAACTCGAGATGAACCATGTCTTATCATCGTTTACTCACGCTCCGCTTGTGATCAACAATCCGGACGGCTCTAGTGTGGGATTCAATACTCTCGATTGGGGATCACTTCTAAGTGAGATGGCCTGAGGGTTCACAAAGCAAACACCGCGTCGTTACTGGGAGGCACCAGATGAGCTAAGGATCGGATACACACAACGAACAATCCAGTATAGGACGAATCGAATGCGGTGAACGTAAACCTTTTAGCGTAAGGAACAATTTTCGAGACGTGAATGTTATTTCAATGTGTGTTTAATGTGAGTTCGTATGTTGGCACTTGAAAAAGATGACGCAGGACTCGTAGAAACCGTCAAAACTAAAAACGCAATTCTAAAAGATTGACTCGAAACTCGAAAAAGTCAGTA